CCCCACCCCCCGAGCTCCGGCTCGCAGCACTTACAGCGCTGATAGGAGGGAGCAGAAGCTCGGTGGGCGCCCGCTTCCTCTGCTCTGTCTGAGAAATCGGGTGCCCACCCCAGGGTCAGCCCCGCTCCTCGGCTGGCACAGCCAGGGGAAAGTGGTGTCCCTCCTCCGCAGCCTGTCCCCAAACCGGGCCTCGTCTTAGGGCTCAGTAATGCCCTGCAGCAGCTCCCGGGCGGCATTTCCCGTCCGGTAGGCCTTACATCTTCCCTTAGCCGATAAAAAAGGGCTCCGGGTGACAGTACCCACGTCCCCGATGTGCAACAGCCCGGCTGAGGGCTGACAAGGGGAATTTTCCCCACCCCGGGATCCTGGGGAGGAGATAAAGGGGGAATTCTGCTCCCTCCCCTGCTTGCTGGGGCGTCAGCTTGTGTCACCAGCGTTGGGGTAACACTGCTCATTTAGAGCCGTGATTTTCTTCTGTAGCGTTTGCTTTTTTTTCAATTTATATATATACATATATACATGTTGTATTTCTATTATATATTTCTATATATAAAATGGGAAAAAGAACAATATCCCAAAGAATGTGCCCGGATGGCTCCGGTGGAGGAACAGGGCACGGCGGCTGTGGCAGGGCCCGCAGAGGGCATGGCCGGCTCTTCTCAGCATGGACAATCTCAAACCGGTATTTCTATGTCCGGGCAAAACTTTGAAGGGGGTTTGCCTCCCCTCAGCCCCTGAACGTGGCCCTTCTGCAGCCAGCTCCAGCCGGTGGCTCCAGGCTGCCCCTGTCCCGCTCCCCCACGGGCAGCCAAGAGGGAGCCCAGGGCGGGGATCCTGCCCTATTAAATCGAAGTAATTAATAAGCCTTAGAGTTTTCCCGCTGCTCCTGCTTTATCTCTCTGCATTTCCCGGGATGAAATCTCCCGGGCTCGTTTCCCCCATCCTCTGCGGGCAGTCTCGCACCGCCTCCCCGCAGCCTCTGGCCTCTGCGGGCGAGAACCGCAGAGAACAGAACCTGTGTCCCGACGGGACGGGCAGCGCCTTCCTTACCTGTTCTTAGCGGCTGCTGCCCTGTCCCTTTGCCTGCGGTTTTTGAACCAGTTGCCCACTTGCGTGGGGGTAAGTCCCGTGGCCTGAGCCAGTTCCCGCTTTTTGCTGGGGTTGGGGTAAGGGTCCTGCAGGTACCACTCCCGCAGCAAATGCCTCGTCCTCTCCTTGAAGCAATGTGTCTTCTGCTCGCCGTCCCAGATGGTGCGGGGCAGCGGGAACTTCTTTCTCACCCGGTACTTGTCCACCGGCCCCAGGGGTCGGCCCCGCAGCTTCTCCGCCTCCTGGTAGTGCGCTTCCAGCCAGAGGGCTTGCAGTTTGGAGTGGGACTCCTTGGTGAACTTGTGGTTCTCCAGGATATGGTAGAGCTCCCGGTAGTTCCCCGTGTGGAAGGCCACGATGGCCCGGGCTCTCAGCACCGACTCGTTCTTGTTGAGCGCCTCGCAGGCCGCGGGGGCCACGGGCAGGGACCAGAGGAAGCGCCCCAGGCGCTCGATGTCCCCGCTCTCCTCCAGGGTCTCGCATACCCCGGCCACCTGCTGCGGGCTGAAATTGAGGATGGGCAGCTGGAACATGGAGGCGGCGCCGGGCTCCGCTCCGCGCTCCGCGCTCCCCCGGCGATGCCCGCCGCGCACAGCCCCGCGGCGGGGAAGGGGCAG